TGATTTTACCTACGCAATGGACCAGCATGAATGTCACTGCTCCTTCCCCCTGTTCAATAACGTATCGCACTCGTTACCTCCTCTCGAGTTTTTAGGGATTCACACCATTATCTTCGATGCACCGCTTGAGCTCTCTTGCACCGTACGGAGCTTCCACCAACACGCACCACAGATCCGAAGGCTGATTGTTGAAGTTCTTCGCACCATGTTATGGTACTTAAATAGCTATAGCTCGACGTGAGCTAGGAGAAGAAGGTAAACACGAAGCATCATTGGAGTTTGTTTGTCTGAATGAGGACCTTGGTGATGCGGAGCCTTGGGGGAGACTCCGTGATGATGCCTAGAATAGCACAATGATACAGAGCTACCTAACGTTTTGATATATCAAAGATTGTACGTTATACATAATCGTGATATATTAAAGCCCTACTCCTGCAGTCAATGGTTGATATATCAACAACGGTAAAGCATCATGTGACCGCACTTGCCGCCCCAAATCCCTTGCTCACGAATGTCAGGCGCTCCGCCAGCCGCCATCGACAAGCGCTCCAAGCGCTCCCGTCGGTGTGCGCCTTGGGCTAAAAATAAAGCAATCGCAATCGCGCTCTCTCTGCTATTAATATTATGCAATCCCTGACATCAAAAATGATCGCTGAGCACCGTGGGCATCTTCCTCCAGTTCTTTACTGTTCCTAGATCCTTATTAATCCGTCATACCCTCAAAAAATAGGTAATCATCACATTCGCGCAGAAATTACATATTTGTTATGACATACATAAGAATGCATGTAATATAAATGCAGATTGCACGATGCTGTATCATACGAAGACGAAAATATGATGAAATCATGAGCCAAGAAAGTATCTAGAAGTTTGGAAAATAAAATAAAATAAACCGATTACTATGAAACATGGTATAAATCATGACAGTATCAGATGGAATATGGACCAGGTGCATGCTGGACCAATACCATTTAGGTTAGATCACATCCGAATCCATCATGTGAGCATTTCCATTAAAAAGCTTGCCTTGCGCTGCGCTGTACCGCCTTGCAAAAGTATAATTATCAATACTTGCAATGTGAAAGGGAGATTTTGACACTTACCACAATGCAAAGCATCCATAAGAGTATAACTATTTAATTTTTGAGGATAACTAGATATTTTTGCGGACAGTCCACTGATAAAGGTGTTGGCGAAGTCAGTGTACATTACAGTAATCGATTGAATGCTTGCCTTTATAGTGTCTTCGTCTGACGAAAATTCTGCAGGTGGTTTTGGGTGGAAAAAACTAGCCATACTGAATGGTTCAGTCTTATAGAGTCAAGTAATATAAAATTTGAGGTAAAATAGGTCAAAACAGCTCTCTCGTAGAGCGATAGTTTTGTGCTCGCACGGTGATGTCATCATTGCAATACGGCCGAGTTTGTCACACTTACCTCAGAGTCCGTCACACCCATGTTCAATCCGACTCGTGGGAAGACAGATACGTAAACGGCTATACCTATTACCCTCTCCTCATCACTCTACCCGAGTGATGAGGAGAGGGAAGAACACAAGAGATGATGTGCACGTTCGCAGCTGAGTGAAGCCGAGCAACAGGGCGCTACCACATGCACCTTATCTTTCATTTATATGTTTTATAAAATGACATTGGGCTGCTAATCCTATTTTGTAAGATACAAAACATACTATCAGTGAAATATATGAAAAAAGTCAGGCTATTATACGGAGCCATATTTGTCCGTATTTTGAGCAGAAATGGCGATACATGTGATGTCGATGGTCTTTTTGCAGCTGATTGATTATTTCACTCATATGTTTTAGAAAAATGACATTGTTATGCTAATCATATTTTGTGCTATGATCAAGACATGTAATAGCAAGACTAATCGAGACAGAGAACACTGGGAAGTAACTAAACATTGCTGACGTGTGTACCTGGGTACTAATTTGAGAGATTGTTGTGCCTGGCGCGATCCCAACACACTCCAGGCACGATCCTACCGCTGTTTTTGGACGAGTCGGCAAGCGTCGGTCAAGGGAAGGCGCAGAGGATGGTTAGGCATCATTGCTAACGATGAGCACAGCTAGATCAATTTGCGAAGGGAAAGAATACCATTTTTAGACCCCACTGCAGCTGATATATCAATCAGTCACTACAGGATCAGGCCTTTAATATATTACGATTAACGCTATCCCACAGTGATTGATATATCAGTCTGCTAGGGACAGGTGAATGATAGTGTGTGAAATTCAAATGACTCGCTTATATACACACTTTAATCGTGGTGCAGTGGGTTAAGGATAATTGGAATCGGCATAAATACCGCATTCTATCCCCGACAGCGACTGTACCGCTGATAGAAACTTGAACAATGGTGCGGATGAGAGGATAGAACTCGATTAACATTTCAGTCCACCGGTATGATACAGCATTGACGTCCCGGAAATTGGGCCCCGCTGCAAGCTACATGAGTTATGATCTACAATGGTGGCGGCAAAAGGCCCACAGATAGCCCTTCCCATTTCATTCTAGCCAGTCGTTGGTGGCAGGCAGGAGTCAATGAAAACCATCCGTCGGTGTCACGCCATGGGTAGTGGCCAATGTTGACGTCGATCGAACGCAAGGAACCTTTCCTCCACCGATTTTCGATGCAATCCACTAAACTCGAACAAAAAAGTCACATATCTAGTGAAAGAGAGGAACCCTCTGGTGAGATTAATGAAAAGTTCTGCAGGTTTGGAACGAAAGCTGGCTCTGCTTTTCCTAGGTTGTTTAGGTCGGCAATCAAAGACTGGATCGTCTGCATGGAATCACCACGCCACTCGTCGAAAGAGAGGTACAAGGAGACGAGTTCAGGGCTAGCCCGCAAGATGAAGATGAGGCGCTCATCAACAGCGCAACCAATGATACTGAGAGATGTAAGGGAACATCCAGAATGGGTCACAAGGTCATACAACGACGCGACGCCATCATGAATATACAAATGGACACCACGAGCCGGACCGTGTAAGCGCACTTTTTTCACGTTCGGTAATATGATGCTACGGAGGAAGGATCCGCTGCACACAGAAAGTTTCGTGATCGAGGTATTGACGATGCGTGGATCAGCAGTTGGGAAGAAGCCTGTAAGCTGAACATCAATGTGGCGGAGACTAGGAGAATTTTCAACGATGTCGAGAAAGTGCTGGTGACTCAGCGCCACGCCTACTCCTGCTTGTCGACCGTCCGTGAATGATCTCAACTTTGGGCACATCCGAGGAATGATGGTGATCTCCGGTATCCTGACGTCAAAGGACGACTTGAGAGTCAGGCGTTCAAGAAGAGGTGCACCATCCAAAATGTCCGATACGATTCTAGAGGGAAGCCGCCACTTGGATCGCCATCCACCCGGGAAAGCTTCATTGAATTCAAAATCGACCAGAGCAGGTAATTGTCCCCGAATAGGCAACAGCAGGTGGAAAAGACTCCGAGGGATGGTGAAGGAGACATTCTTCCAACGATGGCACTGATTTACCAGAGTTCGTATGATCTCTTCAGTAACCGCTACGTCCCGATCTACCGCCTCCCCCAGATCATCGATATCTTTTCCATCCGCCTCCTCGAGCCGGAAGATAAGTGGCTCGTTTCCAGAGCGGGAAAGCGCCAAAGACAGCAGAGCCACTGGATTATTCTTGTAATCCCAACGACTCCAATCCCAGTCAAGCGAGAACTTCGGGCAATTCTCTATCACGATGTCCCTCCATTGGTGACATACCCGACTGATAACCCAAGGTCTCCAACTCGGATCGTAAACGCTCGAACTCGGGTCGTAGTAGATATCACCAAGCGAGGTGGCGCAGTGGTTGAAAATCTCCATCAACATTTCCCCCGGAAGGTGGGCGATAGGACCCGGAGTGTACTTTGCGAAGTCGACGGAGAGGATGTGTAGATTCTTTTTCTGTCGAGGATAGGGATTGGGAGCGCATTCTATGTCAGTCAATTGAAGAGCCCCAGACATACTTCTGGATGGGGCAGCCAGAACTTCCATGGCCTTGGGCACTCCGCTGGTGGAGTTCGTAATACTCGCAAAGGAGGCGAGGAGATCGAGATGTATATCGGAATGCTGCGTTTGAACAAGCTTGTCCAGAGGATCAGCAGGGTTACTAGACATTGAGGAAGACGACTGCTTTCAAGATGGTTGATGATGGTCGCCTAGCAGACAAGGCCATCAGAACGTTAATCGATGTGCCAACATATATCACTTACCTTTTGGATCCAAGCTGAACGAGATGATCGATGAAAGTATGAAGAAACTAGGGTGTGCTGCCTAGCGACTGGTGGTTTTGAACAAGAATAGAAGAGAGATTCATACAAGTATGCGTGAGAAAGTACAAAGTAACATGTTGGCCACCCAGTGGCACTTCACCTTGTTTGATGACTTGAAATTGATGACGGCACATTTTTACTTTGCACAATTGTCACTGTTTGAGGCAATCGGAAGCGGCGCAAATATTAATGAAGAGGATACGTTCCAAAGTTCGACACGGTCATTGTGATTTGAGGCTGAGCGGCACAGTCACAGTAAATTTACACTCAATCCGTCAACAGCCCCTCGTCTATGATATGTGGTAGGTACGGATCGTGATAGTCGTTGTCGTAACAAAGAGCGAGCTCCTGTCATTTGCCGACGAAGATATCAACTCCCTAGAGTTGGTCCAAAATTATGCAAAGAGAGCACTGTTAACTCCAGCACATTTTGGCGCCAAACTGGCGAAAACGCCTTGATGCGCTCTAACCGGGAAAGAAAGGAATCACGATTAATGTTACTCCATTGAGAGCAAAGCCGCGGGGTCAACACGGGGTTAATATTTATCGAGATGATGAAGATAAGCGAAGATAGGATGCTTTGTACGACTGATTGGTATCGGGTAGCAGAACAGAAGCGGGTTCTGCCCCATATAAAGCGCGCATGATGCGTAATTCGGAAGTTTTTGATGTAGAGTCTTATAGTACGTCGGATATGGTGTAACGGCTAACATTGCCGCCTCTCATAGTCTTTGTGTGACTCGTAAGAACGCGGCAGCTCGGGGTTCGATTCCCCGTATCCGAAGTTGGTCTTTTTGCAAGTCACGTTAACTATTCAATATTGTGCACAGTACCGTGACTTAGGGCTGCGCACGAAACCTCCAGGGGGGGTTTGATACCGTTTTGTACCCACCCTACCTGGGGGGTTTCTTACCGGTACGGTAATTTACAGTTTCTTACCAGTCATGTGACCATTCACGTGACCGCCGCGGAGTCATTTTTCCAAATTCTTCTCTACGACGCCGTGACGCTACGCTGCCTCATTGTCATACCTCAAATACTCATGAATTCCGTCCCAATACCCATCGGAACACTCTGGCTACGTCTTCTTACTTATTACTGCTCTGCGAAGTGAAATCATAAAAAGATTCGTGGTAATATTGTCATGTGGTTGGTAAGTTACCTCAATGAAATATGCTCCACTGACCTGTGGTTTCTTACCAGTTTCTTACCGGTAACTTACCGGTCCGAAACCGGGGTGTATCAAAACTGGGGGTTTCGTGCGCAACCCTACCGTGACTAGTGTTACAGTTTACTACATTTGTGGCTTCTGTACTATGTACTTGTAGTATAGGAACGTTCATTACACCCAAAACCCAAGGACTGGGGATTCTCAGTTGCTGGCTGATTTAGACACTAAGATTCAGCGTTTCGTTCTTTCAAGAACAGCGTGCCAAGATGAAATTTAGGTTTCAAGTCATCACTGGCCATTTCCGACACCCTGATAATCATAGCACTCAACAGCCAAATACCAAGAAAAGCCAACACTTCTGATACGAACGACAGGCATTGTCAAAGAAGAACGAAAGACATCGAACGTAAGAAAAGAGCAAGAAACGGAACACCGACTAGGAGAGACTAGATGAAGGGTTCATGAGTTCGATGGCCCAATAGAGGGATGTTTTGTGAGCCTTAATATCAGCAGGAATTGTAAAAGGATGTATTTTTCACGTATCTTTAAGATGTCGTGAGACAAGATAAATGAGATGAGAACACTTGAGCCAAGACAAAAAAACGTACATTTTTGCACTGGCGTAGTACGAGAGAGTACTTCTCGAGGACCCCTATGGACATAGGTCACAATCGTCTAGAAACGCGTGTCCTCACCTTTATGAAACCGCGTCTTTAAGGCTAGTGCTAGAAAAATGATAACATGCATACGTGTATAATGAGCTCTGTTCTCTGAGAACAAGCATAGCCCACCGTGAGGTATTCCACGAGCAAGGAAAGGTATCGTGAGTGGTTGGAATGAAGATCTCTGTGCACATATAGTCAGACGTATTAGAATTGACAGTGTACCATTGCAGGAACAGGGCCGAGATAGCGATAAAAATGTCTTAGCAGAAAATGTTAGTTTTCCGCGTCTCTAGTTTAGGAGTAATAAAACGCACACAGATCATCGAACAATGGTCTCAGAGGAAGATTCGGGACCGCGGTCGTGCTTACCAGGAAGAGCGTCGACGGTCGTTCTCCAAATTATACATTATTGTGCCAGTCATCGTTGGATTTCTGTCATAGACGCTCATATTTGGATCTCCCGTATTCCCGTGGTGCATTCCGGAGGACGGCTCCTGCAATTTCAAGCTCCCAAGGAACAGGCTGTCTTGGAAAGAATCAGTGGAGATCCAAGTAGAATAACGAGCTTATCGCAGCTGGGCATGGATTTCCCGTCTGACAGCATTGTATAGGGACAAGATCGAGCTGGATTATTCTGTCGGACTAGTTGAAGATGATAAGGTATCCAGCATCGTGTGCCCAACCAATTGGATGCCGGCCACACTTCCGAAGTTCCAGTTGTCACAGTCCGCGCTTGGTATCGAACATGTGATTTGTGACACTGGTGTCAATGATGATCGATGACAAATAGACGCGCTGAATGATAATTTTAAAGTTGTTCCTGAATTTATCATGCGGATGCAACGACGATAACGCCTGCGTCCAGGAGACCCCCCCATAGTGCAGCGTCAATTGAACATAAATACAGATCCACAGTCCGGGGCTTAGGTAGTTAGGAGCGTTTTGAGCCAAGAGCACAAATACTCTGACTGTCATTAACACAATAGGCAACGAATAAACACCAAATGAAACTCATCAACAACAATAGAAAGGGTATAAGGGATATCACAATTGAAATATAAAGTAAAACGGGACAAGAGCCCAGACCACTGACGATCTAAAAGTGTATCAGCGGCAATAGGTACGAGTGAAGTGACTTGAACGATCTAGAACTCTCCCACGCTAGGATCCATCTTAGGAGGCGTATTCCACCGCTGCCTCCATCCATCGCCTCGTAACCCTATACCCCTCAATGTAAATTTCCTCGAAGGTGGGGTCCTCCAACAATGCCAGTTCCAAGGCCGCCAGATCCTTGGCGCGGACGGCCGTACTACAGCGCTCAACGTCAGCGTCACCCTAGCTGTCATTAAATCACGCGTAGCTTACCTGGGACCGAGATAGAGAATAGCATCGGGGTCCTTCCACTGGTTCCTCCACATTTTGTATACAGGGAGCGAGATATCTAGCATCGCAGCTGCAACCTTGTCCCGAAGGGAGTCGTGCCAACTCTTGGGTGGTCCAGCCTTGAACTTGGCGACGTCCTTCTCGTGCTTACGCATGAAGTGCTCGTCGAAATAGGTGGTTCCGTTGGCTCTGAACGTTGATGAGCAGACTGGGGTGAACACTAGAAATGTAGTACGTACGACACAAATTTTCCGCCACCAATCAAGAAGGCAGCCATCTCCGCGGCATGGAGGACCTGCTCAGGTGGGACATCAGTCGCATCAGCGGGAAGCGACCGCTTCCTGCTTGAACATGGCGCGCCCGAGGGTGTCGTGCGTTTACCGAAGTACTCTGGGTATTTGGCACGGACGCGGAGGTCGCGAGCATTGACCTGGTTGAAAGACGCTGGAACTGGAGCCGGGGCGGGGGCAGGAGCTGGCTCAGCGAAAGCGAAGGCTGCGAGAGCGGGCAACACTAGGAGAGAGAGGGAGAAACGCATCTTCACTGGGGGTCAGAGCATGGACAGGGAATATTTAAAGACGATCGACATGATAGGGGAGAGTCATGGCGTAAAGGAGGAGCGCCCGATTAAAATATCCGGCTGCCAAGTAAAAAACATGCATGTCGAGGATATTCGTTCGCTTAGGTGACGCAAACAAGGACCGCTTACAATCTAGGAGGATAGCTGAAGTAAAACAAATATATAAGAGAACAAACAGCGAACCTCATAACTTCGTCGAACGAGTATGTTAGGCTCGCCGTCTTCGGCTTGGATGATCGTGATTCTTTGACAAGCGGAAAACAGTTTATGACTGAAAAAATTCGAGATTAGCCGTCAATCATTGTGAAACATGAACTGTGCAACTTGCGTCTGGATAAATTACTTAGCCAATGACGGCGCTCCATTGAGACCCTGAGAGACGAATATAAGTGGGCATGAACACACATCTGAAGAGGAAAAATTAGAGAGCCAAACACGTACAGGATGTAATTTTACCGTCATTCATGCAAGCATAACCGTTTAGATTGGTACTATCCCTAATGAAGGCACACCATGAAGACGAGCCTATCTAATCGGCGGGTTGGCTTAAGGATTAGGAGGATGCTATGTCATTCTCCTGTCGTCTTGATCAAAACTCCAATCTTAGAAGAGAACCAAGGAGGAGTTGGTGGAAGGACGGGCGCTCCATAAATATTGCGTATTAGAAAGCACTGCGCCGGCGATTAGCGTATTGCAAAGTTCCGTTCCATCCTGTCTTTCTGACAGGCTGTGACCAGGAGGTGCGATTGCCCTACGTGACAAGGCGTATGATGCTCTCCTACCACTCAATTTAGGAATTGCATAGGCAAAGAACCCAACAAAAGTAGAAAGCTGCGTACAAACAACAGAAAGTCTTCGATCCAGACAGGGTTGCCTAGGCGCATATCTTGTACACGCACATGCTGGCACCTGCAGCAATATACAGGCTCGTATCACTGAGTATCAGGTATACACGACGTCTCATTGTGGTACTGTACGGAGCCTTGCATTTGTTCAGGAACGGGATTAAAGAGTCTAGAGTCCGGAAGTTGAACTTCCCGGTGGCACAATCAGCATGCTGATGATCGAACATAAATAGAGCCGAGAGAGTATACCCACCAATCTCCCTTGGCCAGAGAATTCGCCGCGCTCCTGATGAGAATCATCACGCGAACACGGTGGATAAGCCCCACAGAACATGTCCTTGCACTCCGCGGCCGATGAGCTAAACGGATAGATATGTTAAGAAAAGAAAGGTACGTGCGTAAAAATATGCCGTACCTTTGACAATAATGATCAAGCGAACACCTCAGATCGAGATAACGCCGTAAACCCGGCACTCAGCAGATGAACTTACGACAAGAGTAAGCACATGATCGCGTCTCCCATCCAAGATGAAACGTACGTATTATATATCAGGAAAACTGGATAAAGTCTGCTTCTCTTGTTTTCAAGCATATAGAATGTAGCCCATCACATAGTCGTCATACTCGTACCAGAAACCGAATGTCATCCTTTCAGCTGATGAAAGCTGTTAATGTATGCGCTGTGTATGCGCCTGAATTCCACGATGTGACAAGCGTCTTCCAACTTGACCAAACTAGATCTCGGTGGAAAAACAGGCCGAGCTCTACGACTCGCAGGCCCGGTTACTGATCAAGTTCAAATTGGAAACTCTCAAGGGCTGCGCTTAGCAAAGAATGTTAACGACGACCTCTGACCGCTATAACAGACGTAAACACACCGCGGCTTTCCTTCTTCGCTGATTCAGGCTATCCGCAAGAGGCATGTAACGCCGTTCCCAAAGGTAATCATCGGCAAATTTTTGCTCAAATCAAAGGCGCAAACCCTTGCCGGTAGATGATCTATCATTGTTGTCGGCTACATAATTCATGGGAAAGGTACGAAGAGACGCACTTTGAACGTCTATTCACTAAGGACAGATCCCTCAGTATCGTCTCCGTTGGATTGCTACTATTGAGACGCTCGATGATAAAACCGTTTCT